TGACCTTGCAATCCCACAGAGTCATTAACATAATTACATGTATTTGAGAGCAGGTGAAGCTCCAAATGAGCTGTAAGAGGCTTTTGGAAAATATAATGTAACCACGGAATTTTGTTTTCTACTTGAATAAGGGGAGAAAAAAGGGTTGTTAGGCCTTTGTGCAGGGTTGTGTTTTGAGCTGTAGGTGGAATACATGTTAATAATGGAAGTATCCAGTGCTGTTTGAATAACGAGGTCCCATTTATACTGAGGTAATTAGTCATGCAGTTTGTGTAGCTGTTTGTGTGTGCTCTGTTTTCTGGAGCTGCAGATCCCTGACAGACCCAGGGTGAGATAAACACTCAGATTTGTCAAGGGCAGAAGATCATCTTGTGCTGTTCTTGTTCAGGAACAAACCCTCACTCAGCCAGGACTGCTGGGCTGGGGGCCAGGTGGAGAATCCTTCCCTGGGAGGGTGGTGAAGCCCTGGCAGAGGTTGCCCAGAGAAGCTGTGGTTGCCCCTGGATCCCTGGAAGTGTCCAAGGCCAGGTTGGACAGGGCTTGGAACACCCTGGGGTAGTGGAAGATACCCATGGCCTCCAAGGGAAAGGACTTTAAAGCTCATCTTATTCCACTCCCCTGCAAAATTACTGTTTGAATTTGATGGTGAAGGTGCATCTGGATTGTTCTCCAAAGCGTTTTGCCCTGATGTTAATTGAGGTGTAAATCTAAGCAGTAATTTAGATGCTTCAATACCCAGCAGTGTGTTCACGTGGTGCCAGAATATCCTAAATTTAGTATTGCAGAAAGACTCAAATCAGCAGTTTTCCAATCTTCTAAGGACAAAAATGGTTTATTTGGTATAACGCTATTTTTCAGGGGAGGTGTAATAAAAAAGTGGAATATATTCTGTAGAGCATTTTCAGACCCTTGGAGTTCCATGCACATGTGAGGAGTCCTTGCTGCTCTGTGCATCCTGGGTGAAATCTGGCTGTGCCTCTCCCCGTTTGCCCCAGGTGATATTCCAGATGGGGAGTTAAATTTGGGTTCTGCTCTGCCCATCCTGGTGAGGTGAGGGAACTGCTGACTAACTCACATGGCAGCTCTAGGCAGAGCTCTTGGGCTGCTATTTCAGGGGCTCCTGCATCAGATGGAGCTTGAAACCCTCTGGAATGGCAGAGTGCCCCAGGCAGAATCCCTGCACTGCAGCAGGCACAGAGCTGCACTTGCAAAAGCGCAGATGTTTGAAATACACACTTAAATTTAACAGCATGAAAATGTGCAGTAAGTCTTAAATTCCAGCTTTGGATGCAGGATCTCCATCATTTGTGAAGCATTATCCATAACTCTGGTAGATAAATTAATTTTTTTCCTATTTCTTTACAATTGAAAGAAACACCCTGCTCTTAGGGAATCTGGTCAAAACTATCTCTTTCCATTTCCATACAAAAATAACCCCGCAGCTCTTTAAGAGAAGAGCTGTGTGAGGGGGTGTGGGGGGAAAGGATTTTCTCTGTTGTCTGGATTTTCTTTGATTACTGAGGGCTTTTATAAGGCTGCTAATGTGCAAATGTTCAAAACAAATACATTCAGAAATGAGAATAAGTTAGGGAATGCTACATAGTTGTCACTGAAGTTTTTCCTGGAGATAAGTTACAGGTTGGTGGAGCTGAGCTCCTAAAAATAGGGATTAAAAGGGAAGGCACCCTGTTTCCTCAGGGCATTTTGGGTTCATGTGTCTGCAAGGCACATTTCTGATACAATAAACCTTACGCAAGAACCATTGCATCAAATGTTATCTAGAAATTCTTTGTTCCATTGAATCTCTTCCTGGATAGTTCAGAGGAGCAGAGGGTGATGCAAGTTCATGGTACTTTGTATGGCAAATTAGGCAACAGCCACAAACCCCCTTGAACAAACAAGAGAGCGAGCAGCTCCCAACGTGTCTGTCTTGCTTCTTTCCCCTTGGTCCTGAACTAGTCACAGCTTGACTTTGGACTCTTAAGTCCAAACTTATGTCATAAACTGAGATTTATTGATTTAAACCCATAGTTTTTAATTCCTGCTGTCCTCCCAAGTGGGCTGTTCCCAGGAATTCCATGGCTGGTGACACCTGGGGTCCTCTCATTACCCTCAATCATTTTGGGTTTGTAGTACCAACCCCGTGGTCTCCCAGCAGCTGGGGAGGGAGCAGAGCTTAGGAAGGACACGGAGCTGTTTCTCACAACAGGGAATGGTGTATAAAAGTGGAAAAATCCAGCTTCCAATAGTCAGACCTGTTCAGCTTTGGTTTGAGCCTCTGGCTTAATCATTATCCCGTGCTGATAGCACAGTCACTGGCTGGGACGTGTCCTCTTTGAGGCCACGAATGGCACAGTGAACCAGCTCCAGGTGCTGGCACTGCCCAGGTGCCCGTTGAGCAGCGGGATGAGGACGTAGGTGTAGCATTCCCAGTGGGAATCTTCTGGTGTGGGTGTGAGACGTTCCTTGGCAGGGCCACGTTCCCCGGGAAGGGTTAAAATCAGTAAAATCCACGTGACGTATGCAAACTATGAATCATTCCAATGGATCTGTGCAACTCCTGCCTGCTCCGGAGCCAGCAGATGCTGTTCCCTGCGTTGCCATGGGAACCCTGCCTGTACTATAATAAAGCCCAGCCCAGATCCTTCCTTGGGCAGACCTCTGCGGCTGGTCACCTCCTCATTGTTTCCTGCCCGGAGGAGCACAGGGATCGGGGTTCCAGAGGCACAGCAGCCTTCCTCCTGCTTGTAACCTGGAGCAAGCAGCTGTGCACATCCCGAGCTGCTCGGAGAGGAGGCGTGGGGACAGTCCCTGGGCTGGGAGCCCCTGGAAGCAGAGGAGCTGATGTCATCCAGCAGCTCTTTTGGCAGGCTGTGAGTCCCGTGGGGAGGGCTGGACACGCTTCCCCTTCAGCCTCCCCGGCTGCGCTCCGCAGTTCTGCCAGGGAAGAGCTCCAGGATGGCTCCGAAGGCAGCGAGGCTGGTGAGGAGGGCATTCTGCTGCTGACACCCTGCTGCAGAGTTTGAGAAGAATCTGGATTTATTGTTTAGAAGATCTATATCGATTTGCTGCTAAATGGATTGTATAGGAGCACCAGAACTTTGGTCAATGTACTCTCACCTGTCGAGTGGCCGAGCCAGGAGAATAAGATTTGTTTCATGCTTCTGATATTTACAGCAGAACAAAAACTTGGCTTAAAAAGGGAGTTGCTTTTCCTGCTCTGAAATGAGAGAGTAAAAACCTTATTCTCTGCTTGCAAATGGACTCGTTTCAAGTGACTATGTCAGGATTTAAACACTGATTTATCTCTTTAACATGGCTGAATTAAACATAATTTGATGGAACTCTGCAAAGCCGATTGTAAGTAGGAAAAGTCTTTTATTTTTTCCTACTTGACAAATGCCAGTCTCCCACCTCACATCTTTGGTTATTTAATTTTAGGAATATCCTGAGGGTGATAGTGCAATGCTGTTTACGTTAGCTGGAAATATTTTATACGCTGAATCGCTTTTCGCAAAATAAATCAGGGCTGTTAAGGAGAATATATTTTAATTGCTACTGAATATTGATATTTCATCTCTGCTGGAAAAAAAAAAATGGATTACCTTGGAGACAAACTGACAGTGGCACAAACTCACATGACCCAGTGGATGGGCACAGTGCGGAGATCCTTGCAGGAAGCACTAAATTTAGTCACTACTGCGGTGGCTCATGAGCGGAGTGGAGGGGAAGGTGGCACCAGGACTCCCTTCAAGAGAACCTCTTCCTTCAGGCACTTTGCATCCCGGAGCAGAGAGTCCTTCCGAAGGTTTTCAGTGCGGAGTCAGCAGAGATTTTCCTCTCTGAGGAAGAGGCAGCCCAGCTCAGAGGCCCCCGAGCTTGTAAGCGATGCACCTTTTTGAGACCCTCAAGGGAGAGAATTCAGTGCAAACCCTGGGGTTTGTTGCAGCATTTTATCTCCTAACAAAACCTCCCTCCTGTCTGCTTTTCCATCTAAAAACAGCCCCCAAACCACCTCCAGATAGTGATGTCTGTCTGTCTGCTCCCAGCTGCTTTCTTCCTGCAGCACAGGTGGATGATTTCATTTGCCAGGGAATCGAGGTTTGGGGAATGGGAAAAATGTGGTTGATTTTGAAGTGAGACAGTAAGGTAGGACACGTATTGATCTGAAATTAGAAAGTTAAGCTGAAGCTGGGCTGGTGTTGGTCAGTTCCCCAGCACAGGCCAGCACAGCTTTGGGTGTGATTTTCTAGTAAAAAATGCCTGAAGCTAAATGTGTAAGGAGAGTGATGTGCTGTCACTGTGCAGGTGATGTAATTGATCATTATTTTCTTCTTTTATTGAAAAATTTTCTTCTAAGAATGCTTCCTACTTTGTCAATAGGGTCAGTGTGACTTGTGAAAGCTGTGGCATGGCAGAGAAAGGGTGCTCTTCCTGGGACCAAAGGAAAGGTGAAGAGCTCTTGGTTCTCCACAGCTCTGTGCCAGACAGAGCCCTTTCCCCTCCCTTTTTTGTTGGTCTCCAGGTTATTTTCAGGAAGAACTGTCTGTATTCCATGGCATGGCAAAGAGGTGGAGGAGAGGCTGGTTTCCTGAGTGCTGCAGCTGCCATGACCTTCCTAGCCATTATTGACACCCCCAGGTCTAGTTCTGGCACATCCTGCAAAGCAGCAAAGGTTTGGGTTGGTAGGGAGTGAAAAGGGAAGAAAATCTGGTTTATTCTCTTTATGTCATGGAAAGGAGCTGAAACCAGTGGTTTGAGCTGTACCTGAAACTGGTGATTTAAGCCCAGTGTTTGACCAGTGACTGTGGTTGAGTTGTGTGGAAAGGGGCCCCAAGCCTTGGTGCCAACATGTGGGTAAATCCAAACTCTCTGAAGTGGCTAAAATGTTTTGGTTTGGGTTTTTTTTATTTATTATTAAACAAAACAGTTACTCATTGTGAAGAGTAAACACTGGCAGCTCTGGCGGGGTTTGCTCAGGGAATGAGTGCAGGTGATGCTGCATTCCTTGGGCAGGTGTGGTGTTTGAATATGGCTCTTTCCACTGCTCTCTATCAGCACTGGGTAGTGCATTTCTGTCCCAGCTTGCTCTCCATGTCCTGTTTGGACAGAGTGGGAAAGAAAATAGTGTCAAGTAAGCACAAAAGAATGAAGAAGAAAATATTTGGTAACCACTGTTACAGTGTAAGCATGGTGAAGTTCAGTTGGCTTTTTTTGGTTTTTTTAAGCTGGTGTTTTAGATGTATTGGAATCATCTGAATGAACACCTCTTGTAAAAGAAGGCTGAAAAATGGGAATGTGAAACCTGCAGAGGACAAATGTTCTGCTGTCCTACACAGCACTGCTTACGGAGCAGAAATCAGGAGACACGGGGTGACCTTTTCACTTATGTCACTGGTGACAGTGCTGGAGCTGCTGTTCCTCTGTTTCAGCAGGAATTCTGCTTGTGCTTGCCTTTATGTGTGAATTTGGTTTCACTTGGGCTCAAACTTAATGTCTGAGCACTGCAAGAAGTTTGTGGTTGGTGCCATTGTGTCTGTGGCAAACAGACCTGGAGCTGGTACATGTTTTGCTTTTTTACAACAGGATCCTCCTGTCTTAGTCCTTGGAACTACTGACATTGTGCTAGAAAAAAACTATGGAATGAGTAAAAAGCATGTAATTCATGTAAACTGATTTTTGTTCTGCTTTAGGGCTGTAGGGTAGAGCAGTCACTCAGGGCTGACAGAGTTTTTAAAGAAGGAGCAGCCATGCCCGTGAACCCCTGCCTGACACAGCCAAGGGCTTCCAGCTCCCTTCCCTGCTGCCACTGGTGGCTTCTGGTGGAGAACTTGGCACAGAAATCTCTCCAAATTCAACTCAGGCAGCACAATTTAAGTCAGCGTGAGTCAACTTCTTCACCCTCACATCTGTGAATCCATAGCTGAGCTTGCAGAAGTTTTTACTTTGCAGTGAGACCTTTTAAATAGAAGTTGATTTTTCTTTCAGGTATTTTGATGGAGTTAATTATCCATTTTCATCTCATGTCATCAGCTTGGTGTCTTTGTAAGAGGAGCAGAGAGACATGCATTGAACATGGCCTCAGATTTAATCAGGGTCTGTTGGTCATGGTTCTATTATAGGTGTGAGATCTGGTTTCACAGCCAGCACTGTTCTAGGTCTCGAGGTTTGTTGCCATAAAATAAAACCAGGGCAAGCTGTTTAATTCCCTTGGCTCCACTTACACTGCTAAAAAAAGTCATGGAAAACCTCAGAGGTGTTTCACACAGAACAGGAAAGATGAATTCTGGGGCTGAGAGTGGTCGATGTGTTTTACCTAAATTGCTCTTATACATGCTAAAAATAACACCTGGGTGCCTTTAGTAGTGCTGTGCTTTTGGTGTACTGGGCAGTCAAAAAAAATGTTTTCGTTCAAAATTCATCTGGCAACATCACCATTACTTAGTTTGGATTCAGTTGCTAATTCCAAAATGAAGATGGAAGTGGAGTGATTTGTTCAATGCATGTGTCCCAGATGTGCTGGGAGGGCACTTAGTCCTTTTGAGGGTTTTTGTTGCATCCTACAGCCCTTTCCCTGCTAGAGGCTGAAATTCCCATCCTAGTTTTTATTAATCTTCCCAGATGTTTCATGCTAAGCTTGTTGCTGGGGAAAGCTGGTGGATGCTGCCTTTTCCCATCAAACAGGATTCCTTTCTGGAGCAGGGCACGGCCCTGGTTTGAGTTCCACACCTGCATTCACCTGGGACTGTGTCTCTGCTTATAGAAGAGCTTTGATCTGCAGTGCTTTTTATGTTGTACCCAAATCTGTCTGCAAAAAGTTTGTCCTTTGTGGTGAACATCCTTCAACAAATGATTTGTAAAGAGAAATTACTACAAGTTGGCACTTTGATTCTGAACTTGGAATAGGTACAGGCCTATGGTGAATAGTTGCTGAATTGTTCTGCCCTAATATTCACTGAGAACACAGTGAGTTGTTCTCAAAAATAATATTTCGGTACTACCAGTAAATGGAATTTTAATCTTTAAATTTTATCTTTAAATTCCCAGGGAGCTGTTAGGGTAAGGGAAGCAAGTTTGGAGCAAGCAGGCTTTAAAAATGAGTTGTTTGTCTTGTTTGGGGCTGGGGGGAGGAGTGAAGCTGTTCAGTTTAATTAATGAAGATACAAGGGCCAGTGCTGAAACAGTTCCTGCTTTCTCATTCTTAATAACTTCTCTTTGGTTTAACAGGCCATGAACGTAGCTGGCAGATAAATCTGGGCCAGAAACCCATAGTGATGGGCATTTGGTAGCTGCCTTTGTTGTTCTCTCGTTATTTTGACAGGAATAATTATTTAAACTACTTTACTCTGTGATTTCACTTAGGCTGACTGCAAGGAGTTGATTTTTCCCATGCTCTTAAACAAGAAAATAGTATAAATAGATTTAGAGCTGATATTTTGTGGTTATCCCATTTTGCTGCCTCTTTTTTTTTTTTTTTTTTTTTTTTTTTTAAGCTGTAAGTGACACTTTCAGGGGAAATACATTTTATCATACAAACTTCTCTGGGAAGTTTGTATGGGCTGGGACACTTTGCAGTATCCCAGGGTTTTCCAGCCTGGACTTGGACACTTGCAGGGATGGGGCAGCCACAGCTTCTCTGGACACTCTGTGCCAGGACCTCACAGCCTCTCTGTTCTGGCAATCCATTTTTATTGGAATTGGTAATATTGTGAAAGTTTTGGGGAACACTCCTGGCGTTCACTGGGGGGTGACTGTGTGTGTGTGTTTTGACTGCTGTCTCCTAAAACATCTCCTGAGCTGTGTGTTGAAACGAGCATCTTTGTTATTCACTTGTTGTCAGGCAGTCCTATCACTTTCTCTACATCTTTAATTCCAGGCTTTAAGCTAAGGAGCACTTTTTTCCCAGGAGTGTTTGTTTGAAGTTTAACTTGTGTCTCATGTGGAGAGACGGTAACTGTGCAGAAGAGCTGTGAAATGCAGCATTTGGAGTAGGAGGTGTTGATTTCAACTATGCAGCATACCAAAAAAAAGCAAATCTATCCCCTCTTTGGCATCCCAGAATGAAATTGCCTTGTTCTGGCTGTGCTTCCTGCAGTGTTGAAGTCGGGGATCCTGTTCCACGCTCAGAACCAGGTTTTATTAACTCAGATGAGAGTTCCACGTGCCCTGGGGAGAGCCTGGGTTCCCTGTCACTGCTCAGGATCTTCCTGACGGAGCCTCTGGCTCCTTCCTGCTGCCTTGGCTTCCTTAGGGGTTCATTCCTTATCAGCTTGGCTGCCTGAGGCTGAAAAGGAAATTTAATCTGATGGTATAGAAGTTCTAAAGATGTTCCCTGTTAGTTCCTGTGCTGTGCTGTGCTGTTGTACACTCCCACCTCTCAGAAGTGCTGTTGTGGCTCACTCAGCCCTAGCAGGGCTTATATTTAGAATTAGATCCTTGTCAGCCTTTTGCACATTGGGTCAACCTCTGCTCCATCTTCAGCTTTGCCCTGAACCTCCTGACCTGTGTGTGGTGAGTGTTCACAGAGGGGCAGAACAGCTCGATTTGCAGGGTAGAAAAAAAATAACAAACTCTCAAATGTCTTTGAAATGCTCTGTGGAATGAGGAGGATAACAGCCCCAGGAGTCACTGCATGATGGTAATTTGGCAAAACCAACTTTATCTGTGTTCATCTAACCACATTCTCTGCTGAGGCCAGAATCGATGCAGCGTAGACTTTGGGTCTCTCTTTGGTGCTGCAGCCTGTGCCAGGGCTTTACCACCCTCACAGGCAAGGATTTCTTCCTAATATCTGATCTAAACCTGCCCTGTGCCAGTTTAAAACCATTCCCCTCCAAATTCCCTCCCCAGCTCTCTTGGAGCTCCTTTAGTACATCTGCTTTGTTGCAATTTTTGTTGTGCCTTTCCAGGGAGAAAGGGTTGGGATCCAGTCCTGTGCATCAATGGGGAAGCAATGGAAAGGTGGAGAATTAGACCAGTTACCCTCCAAAAACAACTCCTGTTTTGTAAGGGAAATACTGTCAGGCTTTAGCATCAGGGATGTAATTGGTGGTTGGGTATCATATCCCTGTGGAAGAGGCAGGGAAAACTCATATGGAAAAGCAGCCCAGGGTTGCATAGCAACAGGGAGGCTGTCAGGCCTGATGGCATTTATGAGATGCTCGGTACTGTGGGACTGGAACGTACTCCACTGCCCATGGGAGAGGGAAACATCCATTATTTAAAGGATTTTTGAGCAGAGCAGTGGAGCTCCTTAGGATCTGAGAGAGCTGAGTGTGCTGTGTGAGTGCTCACAGTCACAGGGGGCACACGTGTGTTTCTCCAGGCACTCTTTGTGCATTCAGCAGTAGCAGCAGCAGCTCCAGTTTGCCACATAAAACCAGCTCGTCCTGCCCAGCCCAGCATGCACCAGGGCCAGAGGGATCATGGAATGATTTTGGGATGGGAGGGACCTTAAAGCTCATCCCATTGCAGCCCCTGCCATGGGCAGGGACACCTTCCACTGTCCCAGGCTGCTCCAAGCCCTGTCCAGCCTGGCCTTGGACACTTCCAGGGATCCAGGGGCAGCCACAGCTGCCCTGGGCAGAGAAGCATTTCTTCCTGACATGAATCTGAACCTACTCTGTGTCAGTGGGAAGCCATTCCCCCTCCTGTCCAAAGTGCCTCCCCAGCTCTCATGGAGCCCCTTGAGATACTGCAAAGCCATAGTAAGGTCTCACTGGAGCCTCCTCTTCTCCAGGCTAAACAACCCCAGTTCTCAGCCTTTCCTTATGGGAGAGCTCCTCCATCCCTGTAATCATCTTCAAGGCCTCCTCTGGGCTCACTCCAACATCTGCACATCCTCCCTGTGCTGGGACCCCAGAGCTGGACACCCCACCGAGGGATGCTCCACCTGAGCAGACACCACAGCCACTCTGCCATCTCCTTACCTGCTGACCACCCTGGAGGTGCCTGTGTCAGGCTGGAAAGCCCTGGAGGTTCTGAGATGGATTAATTCCATTTATTCTGTCCCTGCTCTTAGGGCTGGTCTCCAGGGATGGGGCAGTGCTGTCCTGTTTGGGGGTTTGAAGCTGTTGTGCTGGCGGGGGTGTTTGGGAGGGCTGGGGAGCCTTCCCTCATGCTGGAGGTCTGGAACTCATCCCTGAGCTCAGCTGGGCAGTTCCTGGAACTCTTTATCTGGGGCTGCAGCAGGGAGGGTGGGGGCAGAAGGTTCTGCTTCAGCCTGGAACCTTCCCCTAGGCACTGACTGCTTTCAGCAATTAATTAAAGCACAAAGCTGGCTGATCTCACCAGTCTGAATCCCACCTGATTGCTGGGAATTAAGAGGAGCTGGAGCCATGACTTACTCCTTATGGGCAGCATTCATTGGATGGATAGTAAGTACAGATGGAAATTCTGGGATCCTCTTCCCACTTGCTGTCTTGGCAATTGGTACTTCCAAATTAAAATCCATGGGCTGTGACCCATAGGCCCTCTTATTGTGGTGGGGTTTTCAGTGTTGGTTGGTTTCAATCTGATGTTATGTTGTGATAATTCTGTTAATGCTCCAAAATACATAATTCACCTCTTAGTCCTTAGAATTCTTAGAGTAATTGCAGAATAATTTAGGTTATAAAGGACTTATTGTGCTCATCAAGCCCAGCATCCCATTCAAAGCAGAGTCCACTACAAAATAATACCATAAAATATGGATAGGTGGAGGTCTGCTGCTCTCTTTCTGGGATTCTGCAGGGGAACAGCTGGAATAGTTTTTGGGATTTGTAAGAACTTGTAAGCTCTGCTAAAATGCAGCGTCACACTTAAGGAGCAATTTAACCACATTTTTTGCTTCTTTAATTAAAGTAAGGAGAGGAGAAATGGAAAAAAAAAAAAAAGCAGCAGCCCTTTTCAAGAAATCAGCACCATTTTTTCTCTGAGTTGTGTATTAACAAGGCAGATGGTCGAAACTTCCTTCCATTGTGCAGTTCCTCTTCATACCCAGTCCATGCCAGTGGAATTTAGCTCTGAACATTCACACTCAAGCTGTGGGCTGTCACTTTGGCTGGCTGATGTCTCGGGCTCCTTGGCGAACAAAGATATTTTTGAAACTGTCTGTGCAGCTTCTGACTCAGGAGATCTCTGGGAGCTGGTGTTCCTCCTGTGCCAGGTCTTCATTTCCCATCAGTGCAGGAGGGTTTTGCACATAAATGTCTGCATTAACTCAGAGTTAGGGGTGATTTTGGGGCTGGTGGGACCAATGTTGTGTGTGCATCGTTTTCAGGAATGAGAAATTGCAGGAGTAATCAGCCCTGGACTGTAGCCAAGCCCAGCTTAATTCCACGGGAGGACTGAAAGAGGCATAATCATAATGGCTTATTTTAGAAGAACCAGAGGCAAAGCAGGACACAGCTCAGCTGCTTAATTTTATAGAAAAATTAAGTAGTTTTTTTTTTCCCCTAGCTTCTGGTGTAAGAACTGGGGAGTTAAAGATCAAAGCATGGAGAATTACAGCATTTGAAACTTGGATCAGGCGTGGGTTTTATTTGATTTGGGAGGTTTTTCTGTCATCATAAATTAGAAAAGTTCTAATTTGGGTTTATCTTGTGTGCTAAAAAGACACCGGACCCCTCTTTACTGCTTTTTCCTTTGGAATGATTGTTTTTCCAGTTTCCTGAATATTCTGTCTATGGAGGAAATATCTGTACCTTTCCTGTCTTTGTGTTGACTACCTTGAGTCTTTCAGGAGTGTGGTGACAATAATAGAAAAGAGATCTTCAAAAGAAAAGCCAAAACTTTTCATTCTTACTAATAATCACCTTCTGGCAAGGCAAATCTTCCTGGTTTGTTGTCACCTCCTTCCTCAGCACCCCCTCTCCTCTGAGCTGCTGCACAGGCTATAAATTGCTTTTCTGCACCACTCTTGGTGCCCCCAGCCAACACCTCCTCCACCAGCCAAGGAGAGGATCAGCTCCTCTTCCCACTCCTTATTTTTCTGCTTGGTACCTAGAGCGAGTTTATTTTTTCCAATTAATCATTTGGCACCTTAAAAAGTACGTGTTGAAAGGGCCTGTCAGGGAAGGACACAATCATTGTGAAATAAGCAGCTTCCTCAAGAAGCAAAATAAAATAATGATTCTGAATATAACAAAGTCTTTAGAACACAGAGAACTCTAGGTTTCCTAGAGCTTGGAGTGTTTTATCCTGACATTTAGCTTCAGTTTGTTGTATTGAACTTAACTTCACAATGCCTTCAGAAGCAGTAATTTTATTTCTTTTTTCAGGCTTGTTTTGGGTTTAGCACAGAGAAATAACTCTGCTAATGGTGTCATTCTGGGCAGCAGTGTAAAATATTGTTAGGTATTACTGAACCTTCACAGGAGTGGTGTCTTTGCATCCAAACTTGACTCTGTGGCTGCTGAGCCGTTGTTATCTGGGCTGTCCACACCCCTCCTGCGCAGCCCCCCGGGCCCCGATAGCTCAGCACTGGGTAAACAAGGGCTCCCCACTGCAGCACGACTGCAGCTGCTCCTCTGCTGCTCCTGTTCCTGTTTCTAAGCTTTTTAGTCTTAATTTCTAGTAGAAACAGCATGAGTGATTGCAAATAAAATGGTGCCATGTGTAGAGTTAACGGGCTTTAGTTGTAACCAGTGGAAAATGATTGGAAGAGCAGACTCATGATGTGGGATTGGCATTGAAAAAAACTTCACAATAAGCATCAAGGTGGAAAATAATCCCCTGAATGAGTGTGGACAGCTGGGAGGGAAGTGAGAAGAGCCACTGGTATTTATGAATCCCTTTCCTAGAAGGGCAGCCACTGGCCAAAGGTACCGTGGCCACTGGGTGAGAGCTGAGCCCAGGAGTCCCTGGAGCAAATAATGGGACCAGGAGGCTGCAGAGGGAGTTTGTGGAAGGCAAAACATCCAGCCAAGCCAAGCAGGAGGAAATGCCCTGTGGTTTCTAGGAAATACCAGACTGTCTCCTGTGTTGGAAGCAGCGTGTGCCTGGCTCGCATTTGGAATCTTGTACCTGGCATGGAGTGGGAAATGTAAGAGCTTAACTCGCCTCCAGGCATTCATGTACATATCTCTATTTAGATATCTATATAGGATAGGTTTGACTCCATCTTTTTGAGGTTTTTTTTTCCAACCTTAAAGATCTTATGATTGTATAAAGTGTAAGAACCGGTGAATTTTGGGGCTGCAGGAACATCTGGTGTATGAAAAGCAGGAAATGTCTGTTCCGTGTAACTCACAAACCAAGTCCGTTTAACTTGGGTGTTGCAAACAGAATTTAGCTTAGTCTTTCACTTCAAGGTGCATGATGATAGCTGGAGCAAATGGTGGAGCCTTTTCTATTTCCTTTGCATTAAAACACAAACACTGTCAGCAGCAAAGAGCACAACAGGGCTGGAGAGTGGCTGTGGCCACTGGGAAATAAGAACTGGAAGTGTTGTGGTACTTCTTCAGTAGCCGGGTGTCAGCACTGCTGAATTATTATTAATGGTTTTATAGTCTTAAGGAAGCATTCTTTAGGTGTACAAAATAAAAAAAAAACAAACAAAAAAACCCCCATGCAATCTCCCTTTCCACCCCCCAGTAATATGAAGGAATTCTACATATTAAATATAGGATTTCTTAATTATTGTTTCTTTGTGTGTGCTGCCTGAAGAGATGTGTTCTAGTCCCAGCACTGTGTTCTGCTCAGTTGCAGAGGGTTGGAGGCAAGGGGTACTTACAAAGAGAGAAAAATCCTTGGATTTTTCCAAGGGCAGGTGGAAAACCATGTAATTTGCTGTCAGATAAAATCTTGATAAGCAAAACTGATCTGGAGCTGAAAGCCATGTTTGTATTTGTTCAGGGTAATGAAGGTGGAAGAGACCAAGAGTTAATTATCTGCTCCCAGTGTAGAATTTCAGGAGCTCTTGAAGCTCCCTGAATAACTCGGCACAACTGCAGGGCTGGGTTGTCATTGGTGTGCTGCAAATCTGGGGTGCCAGCACTGACCCACTTCTCTCCCTGGAATCCACTCATTCCTTCTTAGGAAAATAGCAGATCCATGGAATAAAAACTGTCAGGAAAGGAGAGGTCAGAGTAAAACAAAGCAAAGCCACTGTGGTCTGTCCTGCGCTGGGTTTGGATGTTACACCAGTTTGTAGAAAGGTTTTTGTGTCTGGCCCTCTGCTTATTTATTTATGTATTTATGCATTTTATTTTGACTGTCTTCCAAAGAAAGCTTGGGGGAAAAAAAAGAAAAGGATCATTCTATTAAACACAGGAAAAGAGCAGTGGAGGTGATGTTTGCCTGCTGTGCTTGAGGAGGTGAAATATCATTCCCAGCAGAATTCCTTGTGCTTGCATAGGTGCTTTGAGAAGTTCTGTGCAACCTGAGATAAGAGCCATATTAAAGCAGCATGGAGTTCCTGAAACCAAGGAGTCAGCTCCAACCTCTGGAATCTTTTATTTGCCCAGGAAAACAATTACTGTAATTATTGTCCAGAGAATTATTGTCCAGAGAATTGTCGCTCCGAGTTCACGGCAGCTCTTCGTGTGTAACTCCATTCCCAGTCAGCCGAGTTGAGCTGTCAGATTCCAAGGCATTATTGCCAATAAAACCTGCTAATCCCTGAGGCAGGGGCTGGAGCACTGAGGGAAGGTTTTGTTGCAGGACCAGCTGAGGCAATGCTTCTCCAGGCAGCCGCCGGGGGCGAAGGACACGGACACGCTGGTGCAGGAGCCCGACAGCCACTACGGCACCTGGAGCCAGCAGCGGCACAGCGGAGACAGGTGAGCTTTGCTCAGCTTGGGGATGCTGCAATCCCACCATCCAGAATAGTTTCATGCTGGAATGGCCTTAAAAATCATCTCATTCCAACCCTCAGCCATGGGATACCTTCTGCTAGAGCAGGTCGCTCCGAGCCCTGTTCTCAGACATTTCTATTTGTTTTCAAATCTGATTTTCTGTCATTGTCTTTCCTTTAAAAATACTACCATGTGGGGTGAATGGCAAAATCTCCCTGGAATAGCAGAGTGACAAAATCCCTCTGGAACAGGGACTCTGGGCCTCAGGTGGGGTGACACAGGGTGCATCTCTCCATGCCCACATCTCAGATTCTCGAGTGTTTTATTGGTGGTGAAGTGGAGGATGAAATGGAGTATCAGCTGAGTGAAACTGATATTGAGTATTGCTGATGCTTTTTTGCTCTTAGAATGATTTAGTGA